AGGGAGAGTTGAACCGTGAGAGACTATGGACCTGAGAAACAAACAGGGTTTTAGAGGGGAGGGGTGAGGGGGGATTGGTTAGCCCGGTGATGGGTGTTAAGGAGGGCACGTACTGCATGGAGCACTGGGTGTTACACGAAAACAATGGATCGTGTATCACTACATCAAAAACTAATGATGTATTGTATGGTGACTAACATAATGAAATATAAAAAAAAAAGAAAAAAGAAAAAATGTAATTTCCATGCTGTATATAAAAAAATAAATAAATAAATTTATTTTTCATGGATCATTCATTTATTTTTTAAAGTTTTTATTTAAATTCCAGTAGTTAACATACAGTGTAATATCAGTTTCAGGTGTACAATATATTCAACAGTTTCATACAACACCTGGTGCTCATCACAGGAAGAGCACTTCTTTTTTAAACTAGTTAATAATATAATTCGTTTTGCAAAATTTCTGTGGACTGAGGTCCAGCACAAGAGATCATGTTAGGCAAAAATGTGGAGGGGAGGTTCAGTTTGGTCAGCTGGTATAACTAATAGGGACTATAGTAATTGAATTCTACCCTGATTGCATATATTAAGAATAATGAATTATATAAAGATCTTTCAATTTCTGATTTAGGAATGACATGGCAACTCTTTTGAGTGCTTGGCTGGCAGCCTCCACACATTCATAGTAACCAGACCCTGGAGAACCAGCATGTGAGGAGAGAGACCAGTGGTAAATGGTTATGCCTACCTTTGAGCCATTCACACATTTTTCTTACATGCCAAAATCTTTAGAGTGAGGAGCAATTGACTGAGATCGACTAGGTAATCAAGGTAAAGGATGAGTCTTTATTTATTTATCTCTTAAGTAAAAGAAATATGGAAATTGAAGAGTAGTTTCTATTTGTCAAAATGCTTTAAAGGATGTTTTAATTTCCTTTCTGATGAGGTCACAAGAATTAGAATACTATTTTCCCCCTGTCACCCAAGCAGAAATGTTCTAGACATTTGAGCTATGGACTCAAGTAGATGCTGCACTAAAATTTTTAATTATAAAATGATTGCATTTTCAGTTCTTGGTGTTTTAGGTAGATTTTATTGCCCAATATTCACATTTTGTTAGTGGGTTTCATAGTTAGTGTTGAAGGAGAGATCCTAGTTTTAAGCCCGATGCTGATGGAGGCCGTTTTGGGAAACTTTGAGACCAAGGTCTTGTGACCTTCAATGCTGCCCTGTTTCAAGTATGAACATAATTTTTCTTGTTATATAGAGAGTCAAGTGAATATCTATGGTTTATTTTTTATGACTTGTTATTAGTAAACTTTCAATTATGGTGTTTTTGTTTGTCAACTTTCTTAATTTCCCAGTATATTTTGTAGATTTTAAGTGATATTGGAATTGGATGAAATTTCTACCACTGCTCCAATGAACTACTGATTTTGTCATTGTTACCAGTTCTCTTCTATGGGAATAATCAGAACAGTGCACTCCAGAGGTAACTTTGCAATTTTTAATAAAATTTATTATTTATTATTATTTAGGTTATTTCTATTATTTATTTTTGACAATAAGATTACACATGATTTTGAAGAGTCTCTTAATCCAGACAATATGAAGCCTTTATATTCTGGGTTATCTGAGACTTCTGTGTACTTTCCCTCCAGGATTTATATGCTTCCTCTTTTAAATTATATCAGAAGGACCTACTTGAAAAATAGTATTATGATATACTTATGCATAGTAAACCTCTTATGTTGTGAATGATACAGATGGACATGTATACTTCCCATCTTTCCATAATTTTATTCTATGCTAACTTGAACATGGACACAGAACTTGGTTTCATATAAAAGCTTTTATTTCTTCCCTTTGAGACATGAAATGAAGGAAAGTTTTGGGAAGAATTCTGCATCCTATCCTCAAGGGCCAGTGGGAATTTTCATGCTGGTAAGTTTTTTTTTCCTGAAGATACTGACATTCTCTCAGGGAATTTTAACTCTTCTGGTAATATTTTGGCTAAGCTAGTCAGTCATGAGGCTGGGTCCTTGACTGTGGTGGCTAGTCTCCATAACTGAATAGTATGGTTCACTGTGTCCTAGGGAGACAGAATCCTGAGTGTTCAGTATCTGACATATATCTCAGGATTAAAATCCCTTTTGCAAACGTGCTTAGATCAATGATGGCTTCACAAATGGGTCTTGTTGAAATCTGAACAAGATGAGTGACAAAATAACTTCTATAAGGTGAGGTCCAGCACAGGGACCATGATACTAGGCAAAAAATGTGAAAGAGAATTCAATTTGGTCACCAATGGTACCAAATAAAAAGGACTATGGCATTGGAAAACTAGCATACTAACAAATGCTAGAGGAAATGAATGGTACAGAGGCTGTAAATAACCACTGTGGAATGACATAGCTACTCTGAGGGCTTGACTGATAGCTTTCATAAATCCACATTAAGCAGACTGTGGAAAACCAGCACATGAGTAGTGAACACTGTGGGAAATGGCTGTGCCTAGTCTTGAGCCATTTACACCATCTCCTCAGTCACAGTCATTTGTGAGAATCAATATCTTTAGGTCGTATTAGTCAGTTAGAAATAAGTTATTCAGGGGCACCTGGGTGGTTCAGTCGTTAAGCGTCTGCCTTCAGCTCAGGTCATGGTCCCAGGGTCCTGGGATCAAGCCCCGCACCGGGCTCCCTGCTCAGAGGAGAGCCTGCTTCTCCCTCTCCCACTCCCCCTGCTTGTGTTCCCTCTCTCACTGTGTCTCTCTCTGTCAAATAAATAAATAAAATCTTAAAAAAAAGAAAGAAGTTATTCATTTTTTTGCTTATTTATCTCTTAAATACAAGAAATATGGGAAAATTGAAGAGTAAGTAGATCGTATTTATTAGGTGATCTTACTATGTTTTAATTTGCTTGCTAGCCCAGTTTCAAGATTAGAATTATTTTTCTTTTTCTCCTCACTCAGGGAGAAATTTTCTAGATATTTGATGATGGATTAAATTAGATATTTCATTAAACATTTTAACATGAAATGATTAAATTTCCAATTCTTGGAATTTCATGTTGATATCATTGCTTAACATTCATATTCCATCAGTGGGTTTATGTGTATAAAGGTAAGTTATAATTTTAGAGAGTAATGCTTGGAGGGTGGACTTTGGGTCAGCTTTGAGACCAAGGTTTTAGAAAATTTGATTTTCTATACTACTTTTTTTCTGAGGAAAAAGCATAATTTTTCTAGTTACGTAGATGGTCAAGGGAACATCTTTGTTTGATTCCTTAATTATCTGTTATCAGTAAACACTCAACTGGGAAGGTTTTGTTTCACAACTTTTTATATTTCCTCTGTATTTTTGTGGAATGGAAGTGATTTTTTGAGTTGCATGAATACTCATCACCATAGCAAAGAGGTGCTGATTTTGTCATTTTTATCTGTTCCTTTTCTCTGAGATGGCACAAAACAATACACTCCAAGGGTAATAACCAATTTGAAATAAATTACTTTTATGGCTTATATTTTTTAATATTTTTCTGTAGTCAAGTAGATAATTGGTTTTGTGAAGTATCTGTTAATCTGGACAATGTGCATTATTAATTATCTGGTGAACTGTCAAATATTTTGTCTCTTTTATTTCCAGGATTTTTGACTTCTCTCTTTGAATAATAACAGAAACATCCTAATAAAGTAATATGAGTTCACTTGATATGAAGGTATATTATAATCCCTTCTGTGTTGTGCATGTTTGATAAATGGACATCACATATTTCCATATTTTAGTCTATTTGCACAAGTTGATATGAACCACTATCTGGGTCTCATATGAATTGATTCCTTCTTCTTGATAGAGTTTCAGGAGGGGGTGGGGGCTGGGTGGCTCAGTTAAGTGTCTGCCTTCAGCTCAGGTCATGATCCTGGAGTCCTGGGATCCATCTGCCCCACATCAGGCTCCCTGCTCAGTGGGGAGTCTGCTTCTCCTTCTGCTCTGCCTCTCCCCCCACTCCTTCTCTTTCTCTCATTCACTCTCTGTCAAATAAATAAATAAAATCTTTTTTAAAAACAGAGAATTCCAGTAGGAATTCTAACATTAGTAAGCATTTTGTCCTGAAAAAACTGGCATTCCTCTTAGGATACTCTAACATTCATATGACAGTGAAATTCTGACTGTACTAATCAGTTGTGAGGCTGAGTCATTGACTATGATGACTAGTCTCCATGATTAAATAGTATGGCTCAGTGTGTCCCAGGGAGACAGAATCTGGAATGCTTAGTGTCTGTCACATATCTTAGGTTTAATATCCCTTTTATAAATGTGACTAGACCAATGATGAATTCAAAAAATGGATATCATTGGAATATGAAAAAAATGAGTGACAGAAACACTTCTGTGAGCTGAGGTCTGCCAAAGGACCATATGAGGCAAAAAATATGGATAAAGTTCAGTTAGTCAGATAGTAGTACCAGCCAGGTCTGTGGTATTTGAAACCTAAACTTATTGCATACATTAAGAAAAATGAATTGTGCAGAGATCTATAAATATCTGATTTAGAAGTGACATGGTAACTCTGAGTGCTTGGCTAGCAGCATCCATACAGTCATAATAATCAGGCACTGGGGAACCAGCACATAAGTAATGAGACTGATGAGTCACATTTTTGTCTACCGTTAAGCCATTCACATGATTTCCTTAGATGCTGCAATCTTGTGAGTGAGGCATAGTCCATTGAGGTCAATTAGATAGTTCAAAAGATACTATAATTCATGAGTTACCAATAATTTTTTAGATAAAGGAAACATAATAGAAGCTGAAAAATGGTTTGTATTTGTGTGAATATCTCAGAGAGTGTTTTAATTTGCTTGTTAATCCAGTCACAATAATTCATAGTGTTTTTTTCTTGTCACTCAAAGAGAAATTTTCTAGATATTTGAATGATGGATTCAAGTATGTACTGCATTAAATATTTTTTTTAGAAGAGAGGGAGTAGGGAGATGGGGTAGCCAGGTGATGGGTATTAAGGAGGGCATGTGTTGTGATGAGCACTTGGTGTTATACACAACTAATGAATCATTGAACACTACATCAAAAACTAATGATGTACTATATGTTGGCGAACTGAACTAACTAACTGTGAAATTATTGCCAATTATATCCAAATCTTGGAATTTTATTGGTTGATGTTGATATTCCTTCAGTCTGTTTCATTTCTGTTTAAAGGAAGATCCTAGTTTTAATGAATGATGCTAAGAGTTCTTTGGAGAAACTTTGACTATGTCTTAAAACAAAATTACTTTCTATACCATTCTATTTCATGGAACAAGGGTACTTTTTTCTTGTCATATAGCTGGTCATTGAATGTATATAATTAATGCTTGTAAGCTTTTATCAATAAACATTGGATTTGGAAAGTTTTCTTCCTTGGCTCCTCTGACTGTCCCTGTGGTTTGTAGGTTGGAAGTAAGATCACAGTTGCATGGAATTCTTGCCACTTCACCAAAGAATAGCTGATTTTGTCACTTTTACCAACTCCCTTACCTGAGAAGAAACAATGATGCACTCTCAAGGTAATATCTATTTTTTTAATAAATTTTTTCCTGGGTTATTTTTAAGTAATCATGAATTAATTAATGTTGTATAGAATCTGTCAATTTAAACAATGTGAGGCTTTAGTAATCTAGTGATTCTTCAAGACTTCTGTTTTTTTCCAGAATTTTTGCACTTTCTCAGTCTTTCTGTTGATGCCTCATATAGGAATTAGGCAGAGAAATGATGGCAAGGTAATTTCCCACCAGTGTGTCAGTGTTCATACCAATAAGTGTGCTTACCCAAATGCCACTAGTACTTAGCAGTGTATCCTTATGAGCACCACCCTAAAAATAGAATGAGAAGTATTTTAATTGAGGGCTCACTGTCTGACTTTTCTGTATACTCTCAACCCCTCTAGTTACATGTCATATTTATTGTGCCTATGTGAGCCCTGCATGCATTGCTGTGACCACAATGTGGAATTAGGTGTAGCGTAACCCTATGTATCCTCTGCAAATTGCCATGTTCCTGAGCTCAGGCAGATTAAGTGATTTTTAAACAATGGTGCTTTATTCCCCTATAATGGCTTTTTGTGATTTCCTCCTCTCTAAATCACTGGATCATTTTTGAGTATAAGATAATTCTGAGGTTGAATTGCCAGAAATATATGTGCATTGTTGTGATTGAAATTTTCACCAGGCCAACATTTTCCTGGAACTTTAAGCATACTCTGGTTGCTCATTTAATTTGTCTGGCAGAAAATGTTGGACAAAATTTGCTCTGATGGAGGCTAGAAATTAACACTATTAATATTGTTGGAATAACATTGGAAACATCCTAGGAGAACAGTATATTAGATTATTTAATAAGAAGTGCATTATTGAACCCTCCCATATTGTGCTTCTGGCAGACCAATGAACATATTTATTTCTCATCTTTCTACATTTTTACTGTATTCCCACAGGTCAACAAGGATAGAGCTCAGGTGTCACATGAAAATGTTTATCCTTTACCCTTGAGCTAGGACACAAAGGAAGGGTCCTTTCTCAAGGGCCAGTAGGAATTCTCAATAATTTTCAGTTAGCATTTGTCCCAAAATATTGATCTTTCTTTTAAGAATTATGTAATATTCCAGTTACCATAAGACAGTCAATGATAGTCAGCTAGGAAACCTGAATCATTAATGTAGGGGGCTGGTCTCCATGACTGAATAGGATAGATAACTGTGTCCCAGAGAGATGAACTCCAGAGTGCTCAGTTTCTTTCATTTTCTGAGGTACACAGTACCCTATTTTAGGAACTTGTGTGTATCAGTGATGACTATAATTGACGTCATTGAAAAATCTGAACAAAATAAGTTACACAATCACTTCTGTGAAACTGAGGTCCAGCCAGATATCCATCATAAACAAAATATGTACAAGGGGGAGATCCAGGTTTTCATTTTGTGGTACCAGCAAGAACCACAGTATTAGAAAACTAAGCAGCTGAATTCTTAAGATGGTGGAGCAGTAGGGGGATTCTATGCTTGCCCCATCCTTCAAACACAGCTAGATAGATATCAAACCATTCTGAACACCCAATAAATCCATATGGGGACTGAGAGAACAAATTGCACATCTAGAGGGAGAAAAGTGGCCACACTGTGGAAGGTAGGAGCTGTGGAGAGTTGATTTGGGGGAGAAGAGAATTGCAGATGCTACAGAAGGGATTGAGCCCTGATCATACAGAGAGGAGAGAGAGAGAGAGAAAGAGAGGAAGAAAGAGTGAAATCAGTATGCAGGGAATTGCACAAGAAAAACTTCCCAAAAACCATTGACTGAGAAAAGGAGAGGGGCTGATTGTCACAAGATTTTACAAGCAGTGGAGCTGAAAGTCTGAAGTTTTAGAAGTCCATGCCATCACCAGGGTCATGCCTGGCAAGCTTAGCAATGCTCCTGTGGGGAAGGAGGACAGAGGCCCAGGAGCAGACGGCATCTAAGGATCCCCTGGGTCACACCAAAAAAGGCAGTTTCCGTTCTTGGAGTACATTTAGGAAATATGGCACTGCCTCTCAGGACAAAAATTATGGCAGGCACTGTTAAGCAGCCCTGTTAATTAACATTATCAGTGGAGGCATCTGCTGAAGGCAGCTAACCTGGAAGCCAGATTTTGGCTGTGCTTTACCATAAACTCTGAGCCCCTGCATGATCATGCAACTACTTTTCTGGGACAAGTGGCACCAGCCACAGCACAGCAAGACCCTAACTCAGAGGATCAGTGTGGGTCTGAGCTGTGCTGAGTCCCTAGAATTTGGAGTTTTAAAACCCAGCCATACCCCTGAGATAAAACACAGGAGCACTGTGCTGCCAGGCAGACAGATGGCTCAGACACAGACAGGGTGAAAGCAAGGTTCTGATGGAAACCAGGACACAAGAGGGGAAATTGTTTGGTCTTCTATGAGGGCTCCCTGAACAGCTGCAGGTGTGAACTCCCCTCTCTGGGTACAAGAGAGTGGGGTGACACCATTTTCCCCCAAACCCATCAGCACGACAGATTTCAGTGAGCAGCACAGCACCGCCAGTGGAGGCTGGACCTACTTAAACCAATGCCCACCTCACTGTGCCCTGTGGGTACATCTTTTTTTAATTTTCTAATTTTTATTTTATTTTATTTTTTAGAGAGAGAGGATGTGGGGGGGCAGAGGGAGGAGGAGAGAGAGAATCTTAAGCAGGCTCCACATCCAACTAAGAGCCTGATGCAGGGCTTGATCTCATGACCCTGAGATCATGACCTGAGCCAAAATCAAGAGTCAGTTGCTTAACCAGCTAAGCCACCAAGATGCCCCTGCAGGTGAATCTTTACTAGGTCAAGTCTGCCTAAGAATTAGCAGAGTAAGTCCCTCTCCCCCACACACATACACACACCAACTTAAAGTGCTGCAAATCTTCAGCTATAAGGTAAAATGGATCTAGCCTTTTCTAACAAGCAGACCAAAACATACCTAGTTAAAACTCAGCACACATTGGACCAGGTCCAAACACACCCCACTGAAGGCAAGGAGAAACTCTGCAGAGGACCGATCTGAGGGAAAGAGCAGCCAAACACAACAGCAGAATGTGCACAGCATACACACACACACACAAAACTTCCTGAAGCACCAGGCCCTAGACAGAATGTGACCTCTTCTTAATATAGCCATTACTCTAAGGAGCAGGAAAGGTAACATGTTTCCTTAACACACAGAAGACAGAGGTCTAGGAAAAATGCCAGGTGGAGGAATTTATCCCAAAAGAAAGAACAAGAAGAGGTCACAGCCAGTGATCTAATCAAAACAGATGTAATTAGTATGCCTGAATGATTATTTTTTTTTAATTTTTTTATTATGTTATGTTAGTCACCATACAGTACATCTTTAGTTTTTGATGTAGTGTTCCATGATAATTTAAAAGAGCAATCATAAGGATAGTAGCTGGGATTGAGAAAGACAAGGGGAGTCCCTTACTGCAGAGATAAAGGAAATAAAAACTAGTCAGGCCAAAAAAAAGAAAAATGCTATAACTGAGATGCAAAACCAACTGGATGTATTGACAAGGATGGGAGAAGCAGAGAAATTAATCAGTGATATAAAAGTTAAAATTATGGGGGGGAAATGAAGCTAAAAGAAAGAAAATAAGAAAAATATTGGATCATGAATGTAGACTTAGGGAACTCGGTGAGTCCATAAAGAGTAATAACATTCATATCACAGGAGTCCCAGAAGAGGGAAAAAGGGGGGCAGAAGGTTTATTTGAGCAAATTATAGCTGAAAACTTCCCTAATCTGAGGACAGAAATAGACATGCAAATCCAGGAGGTGCAGAGAACTCCCATCAAATTCAACAAAAGCCAGCCAACACCAAGACAAATCACAGTAAAACTGGCAAAGTACACAGAAAAGAAAATAATCCTGAGCACAGCAAGGGAAAAAAAGTCCTTAACCTACAAGGGAAGACAAGTAAGGTTTGCAGCAGATCTCACCACAGAAACCTGGCAGACCAGAGGAGAGTGGCATGATATATTCAGTGAACTGAATGGGAAAAATATGCAACCAAGAATACTTTATCCAGCAAAGGTGACATTCAGAATAGAAGGAGAGATAGACTCTTAGCTATAGAGAATGAACTGAGGGTTGCTGGAGGGAAGGTGGGTGTGGGGATGGGCTAAATGGGTAATGGGCATTAAGGAAGGCACTTGTAATGAGCACTGAGTATTATATGTAAGTGATGAATCACTGGATTCTACTCCTGAAACTAATACTACACTATGTGTTAACCAACTTGAATTTAAATACGGACTTGGAGAGAAAAAAAGAATATAAAGAAAAAGAATAAGGAGAGGTAAAGAGTTTCCCAGACAAATAAAAACTAAAGGAGTTCAGGACCACTAAACCAGCCATGCAAGAAATATTAAAGGGGACCCTTTGAGTTGGAAAAGAAAGACCAAAAGCAACAAAGACTAGAAAGGAACAGAGAAAATCAACACCAGCATTACAGTTAATACAATGGCACTAAATACATGTCTATCATGAATGTAAATGGACTAAATACTCCAATCAAAACACATAGGGTATCTGAATGGATAAAAAGATCAGACTCATCTATATATTGCTTACAAGAGACCCACTTTAGACCTAAAGAAACTTCCAGATTGAAACCATCTATCATGCTAATGGACATTAAAAGAAAGCCAGAGTAGCTAAATTTATATTAGACAAACTAGATTTTAAACCAAAGAATGTAACAAGAGATGAAGAAGGGCACTATATCATAATTAAGGGGTCTATCCAACAAGAAGATCTAACAATTGTAAATATTAATGCCCCCAACTTAGGAGCAGCCAAATATATAAATCAATTAATAACAAACATAAAGAAACTCATTGACTTAATACAGTAATACTAGGGGAATTTAACACCCTACTTACAGCAATGGGCAGATCATCTAAACAGAATATCAACAATGAAACAATGGCTTTGGATGACACACTGGACCAGATGTACTTAACAGATATATTCAGAA